GCATGGAGTATAATCAGGAGTTTTAGCATGGCCTAATGCTAATATCGAATGGTTTTGATTAACTAATTTATTGTTGATTAATTACGCCTTGTTCTTTCTGAGCCTCCGACAGCTCCGTATGAGTTTAAGATAACGACAAGGTCCTAGCTTTAAGGTCACTGTCATTTCGCCATGCAGTACCTAAGATAATTACAATGATGAACGACAATAGGCATCAGATTTGTAGATTGCTATCGGTGCATATACCTTATATGCTTAATGTGTTTGAGCGTACTCGGCTGAAAGTTTGCTTCTAGCTTAAAGGTACGTGTTCGAACCCGGGTATGGGCATACGTCGTTTCACGTTCGGAGCCAGCCGTTTGTCTGATAGAATTCCTAACGGCGATACATAACATAACACTTTAAAATAGGCAGACAGCAACAAAGAAATCGGGAAGAAGGAGAGAAACTACATCGAAAAGAATAACCATAGGGTTCAGAGGTATGTATTGTTATGTTCGTTAGATTTAGAGATCAGCTGTGTCTGATTCGTTTGATAGATACAGTCGAAAGTTTTCATTCGATAATGCGTATGTCTAAACCAACGGGGTTAAGTCTTCGCATCCAGTGGCCTACGAAAACACTCATCCAGTCATAGCTAACATATATCAACTTAATCATCTAACATCCACCGTCCGCTAGTATCCTTAACCTAAGTAAAAGAAAAAAGAAAATAACTATTACTAGCTCTTTTCATTCTACTGTGAGAAACCAGTTGTAGCGAAACAGAACACATTCAATACTAGTAGCGCTAGAGAGATTAAATTTGACTGTCGGAGGAAGAACCTAAGTTACCAGTCGACTGGAAGGGGGCGTCCCTTTATGTACCCTTTATTTACAGGGCATTAGCTGGTTACGTTGATGCAGTCGTTGTTCAATCCTGAAAGTAACTTTACCGGACGCAGTAAGGTGTGGCCTGAATTATCGCTTGACGATTTTCTATCTTTTTGCTGTCAAACTATCTGCTAACTTGATTTGTCAGCCTAGGTTACAAAAAACAGAAAGAAGAATATCACTGCACCTGGTTCCTATGAGAAAATTCACTCTGGGTAACATGAGCTCAATTGGCTTGATCGTTACATAGGCATTAATAAACGTTATTTTTCTCACTATTGTAAGCATATAACTGATGATGGGTGAATGAACTTCCAAAATTATTATCTAGTGAAAGAAGTTTCACTTGGCATATTTTTAACTATAGTTAACTTGCATGGTTTAGCACAAGTTACGCTACTTGCTTTCTGTGAGTTTGAGGCCGACCCGATCAGGGTATTTTATTAACAAAAGATACCGTTCAAGCATGTGCAATCGTTAGGAGAGGCCCTAGCAATAGTAAGGTTTACGAAAAACGGCTTATTTTCCCTTTTAGAGCTTCTCTTGTTACTTATTGGGTTCGCTACGAACCACATTTAGGTCATATTTCATATTGTTTATATATTAACACGAATGAGTAAAAACATGTAAATTGTTATTCTTCTCGTTTGAATAAGTAAATTCACTCGGATGAGTCGGATGAATCATACTTTTTTTTTATCTGCAAAATCTGCGCGTAGGGCCGTTGGAGATTCCTGATTTATTGGTGTCGCATTGTGTAAAATGTAGTTTGGCGTCCTGGAACGAAAGCTAGTCGTTCGAGACCGGCCGTAAGCAAAAAGTAAATGTCCCGTTCTTGAAATGAATACAATTTCTGCGTCCATCTAAAACCAAATTCTCCTCAAGAACGGGACATTTACTGC